TCAGATGATGCTGGGAATTCTCCCCCCATCCCAGCAGCAGCCCAAAACGAACACATTGAAGCCGCCTTATACTGAATTGGGCTCTTGTCAAGGTCAGTATTGCCTACTCAGACTGGCAGCAGCTCTCGAGGGCCTCAGGCAGAGGCCTTTCACACCAGCTACTGCTAGATCCTTTAACTGAAGATGCTGGGGACTGAACCTGGGACCTTCTGCATGCCAAGCAGATGTTCTACCACTGAGTCAGGGCCCCATGAAATCCTGGTCTTGGGGAAAAAGGGATCTGCTGCAACAGGATTTTCAGGGGGTATTTGAGGTTCCCATGGGTGGGTTGGTGAGAAAGGCATGCTCTTCAGGCAGAAACTCTTGGGACTACAGAAATGCTATGCTGCCTAGAGCAAACCAGCAATTTAGAGTAATGCATCATGGTGTTTAAGAATTTTTAAAAAATTCTCACCTTTCCCTCTTAAAATGGGGACTGAGCCAACTTACAAACAAGGATCCACAATGTGCTAATAAAACAAGCATAACCCCCGGCTGCACCTTAACCCATAACAGCTTGCCAAGGAACCTACAATATTATCACTAATGCATTCACAAAAAAAACTGACAATGGCCTGTCACAATAACACCCATACAACACGAGCCAGTCTGAAAATGAATCACTCTGCAGTGCCTTTATACATATCCAGATGGAAGGCACCAGTCTCACCTCCAGTAAGAAATGCCAGAGGGATGGGACTTCAGCCAAAAAGGCCTTCATTTGGGCTAAGAATTACCCTTTGAGTCTTACTGTTTATTTTATACCCGGCCGTTCTCCCCAGTGGAGCCTCCATTTTATCCTCACAACAACCCTGTGAGATAAAATAGGCTGAGAGTGCGTGACTATGATGAGCCAGCAAGTATAAACAGTTGGGAAGAATGAAGCTGGTCCACAGATTGTCCTTTGATGTGAAGTAAGGCATTATCCATGCTTTAAAAGGAACAAAGAATGGATTTTCTCTGAAGTGTTCCTTCAGTACCCTTTCCTGTAGCTCCTGCATTTTGGTTCTTGCCCACCGAACTACTTACTGTTGTGATACAGTTCAAGAAGGCATAAACAAACACCCTGCAACTTGATCCTGTGCCCAGCAGCAGAGACCAAGCCATCTTCCCTGTTGTCACAGGGCAACTGACAGATACAATTATAGAATTATGGCTGGCAATAACAGTGAGAAATGATGCATGTGCCATGGGGGATGTTTGCGTGTGTCTTGTGAAATCTGCCATGTTGCCAGGAAGATGCAGTTTTGTCTTTCCCAGCGACCGTCGTTTTGTGCGTCTGTTCTGGGCCAGTCAGGATGCTGGGTATTGTGGGGAAGGGATTATGGACTCCGCTCCTACCGTCTCTTATCTCACTCTCTGGGCACTCGCATCAAAGCAGCATGTTTTGTTTGGCTTCCTCTCTCTTGCCTGAATAGGCAGGGTCTGAAATAGAAAGCCTCACACTCCACTGGTCACAAGCAAAGCCAGATTTCCGCAGTCCTCCTGCTGGCTGCGTGACCAGATATGGGGGCATTTATCTCATCCGTAAAAGCTACTCTTTCTCCACACCTAGGATTTGTGTGCAAATGAGAAGATGTCCATTCTTGGAGCCTGGTCCAAAGGTCCAGGGTAAACATAGGTTTCCTATGTGATAGAGTTCTACAGCTGCGTCATTAGTGAGGTGCATAATGAGGTGCTAGATCGATATCTCACAGTGATAGTCACTTAGTGCCGGAGGAGGAGGAGGAGGAGGAGGAGATTGGATTTATACCCCGCCCTTCACTTGGAGTCTCAGAGCGGCTTACAAACTCCTCTCCCTTCCCCTCCCCACAACAGACACCCTGTGAGGTGGGTGGGGCTGAGAGACCTCTGACACAAACTGCTCTTTTTCAAGGACAGCTGTGCCAGAGCTTGTGACTGACCCAAGGTCATATCAGCAGGTGCAAGTGGAGGAGTGGGGAATCAATCCCGGTTCTCCCAGATTAGAGTCTGCACACTTAACCACTACACCAAACTGGAGCCATAGTGACTCCTCTGAGCATTAGTAAAATGGAAATCTGAAATACCACAGTGAATAAAATAAGTCTGCGACAACAAACTGCGTAGGCTCAGCTACAACAAGGACACATTAAACAGAGGCTTAAAACAAAAATCTGGAACTGAAGCATCCTGGCAATTTGACGTAATGAGCTGCTGGGTACATCCTTCAATACAGAATCAGAGATCACTTCAGCTGTTGTATCTTCTAGTGGTTTTATGAGCTTAGAGGCTTTGCTTCGTTTTGCTTCTGAGCATTTTTCTCCTCATGTAGAACCTGCCCAGTGTTTCGGGAAAGTGGGAAAGGCCTTTGCCCCATGCAGCATATGGTTAGCAAGTGGTTCCTACTCTCTACCAGCTGCCACCAAAGGAATGGATAAACTGCAGGTGTCCTCAAGATGCTGGCCCCATGCCCGGGATGGAAGTAAATGTGGCTCTTTTGGCTGAGGGCAACCGCAAATGCAGCTTTCCAGAAGTCACATATTGAGGACCACTGTTTTATATACACACATTACAGATGCACACGTGAACATTTGTTTGCGTACTCTTCCAGCCCACAAGGCAGGGAGATCCGTATTTTGGACTCAGTACAAACCATGAAATTCTCAACTGGCTAATATCCCCCCCCCCCCCGAAGTAGAGTATTCCTTTCATCATCATCATATATTCTAATAATAGCCAACAGAGGGCGCCGTGCGGATCCTTAGTCCCAGGAAAAGGAAGCTCCGTTTGGCTCAGGAGCTTTTCCTATATATTGAGTAGTCTGCCAGTGCCTGCAGAAAAATCTAAAAACTAGAAAAAACCCTCCTGTGAGAGAGAGGTTAGAACGTTCGGGGGGGGGGGAAGAGGCTTCTAACCGGCTCTGTGAGTCAAAGGGTGTGGGGGAAGGGCCCTTTCCAGGCCTCCTTTGGCCTTTCAGGGAGGGAGGGAGCCTTGGGGCCTGGCCTGGGGAGTCCCTAGAGGTTTTGAGGTGGGATTGGGGAAGGGAGAGGTCTCAGCTGGGTATAATGCCACAGAGTCCACCTTCCAAAGCAGTCATTTTCTCCAGGGCGACAGATCTCTGCTGCCTTGAGTTCAGTTGTAAGTCTGGGGGGGGGGGGTTTCCTTCAGGCCCCACTTAGAGGTTGCCAAGCCTAGGCCTGCCAGGACTTTAGGGTTGCCAGGTTCCCCCCCTGGCCACCGACAGGGGATTCTGGATAAGGTTGCCAGGTCCAGGCTGGGAAACTCCTGGAGATTTGCGGGAGGAGCCTGGGGAGGACAGGGACCTCAGTGGGGTACAATGTCACAGAGTCCACCCTCCAAAGCATCCATTTTCTCCATGGGAAGTTATCTTTGTAGTCTGGAAATGAGCAGGAATTACAGGGGATCCCCAGGTCCCACCTGGAGGCTGGCATCCCTCGGCAGCACCCTCTGGGTGACTTGATACCACCTGATTTGCATGACTCAAGTAGGCCCAGCTGCTTGCTACTGTTTATCAGCAGCCATCAGTTAGAGCTTCAGATTAGGGTTTGCAAGACCCAGGTTCAGATCCCTATCTTGCAGTGGAAGCTAACTGGGTTATTTTGGACCAGTCACATACATTCAGCCTAGCCAACCTCACAGGGTTGTTGTGCAGATAAAAAGGAGGAGAGAATAATGTAAGCTGCTTTGGTCCCCACTGTGGAGAAAGACTGTAATTTTTCTAGGTAGAGGCTGTGGGGGAGGGGTGTGGAGATGGAAAGTTGCAGATAGAGAGACAGATAAAGGTGGGTTGGCTGTTGGGTGGGAAGGAAATTGTGTTGCCAACTCCAAGTTGGGAAATTCCTGGACATTTGTGGGGTGGAGCCTGGGGAAGGTGGGATTTGAGGAGGGAAGGAACTACAGATCAGTATAATGCCATAGCTGGAGGAGAAAAAGAAAGGGGGGGCAGAAGGGAAAAAGAGTGTGAGAGAGGTAGAGGGAGACAGGAGGAAGCAAAGGTGTGAGGAATAGGATAACCATTCCGCAAGTTTCTTGCGGGTCTCCACTTGTTATATATATTTTTTAAAAACCCTAAAAGTTTTGCACTAGCAAAGTGTTGTGCCAAGGAGGAAGCAGGTGCCAGATAGTGCACTGTGCTGCACAGTAGTGTAGAATGAAGAAATGTCTCTCTTTAAGCTTGGCATAACATGCTTATTGATGAGGGACAGTGTGAGCTTGGGGTACAAGGTATGTATGCACAAACACTCTGAAACCACTCTTTCTTCTATGCATATGTAAGAAGGATTGAAGAGCAGTTTGGACTGGGCTGGGACGAGAGGTGATTTTGAGAGAAAGGACACTGGTGTTGCTTGGGAATTAGCAATGCCTGCCTCCAGGCCCCTTAAAGCCCACTAAATCTAGTAAAGTAAAGGTAAAGGTTCCCTTGCTTGAAAGCCAGTCGAATCCAACTAGGGTTGCGGTGCTCATCTCCGTTTCAAAGCCGAAGAGCCAGCGCTGTCCGAAGACGTTTCCGTGGTCATGTGGCCGGCATGACTAAACACCAAGGCACACGGAATGCTGTTACCTTCCCACCAAAGTGGTACCTATTTATCTACTTGCAATTTCTTGCTTTCGAACTGCTAGGTTGGCAGGAACTGGAACTAGAGATGGGAGCTCACTCCATCATGCGGCCCCCGGGTCTCGAACTGCTGAACTACTGACCTTCCACAGCCTACAGTTCAGTGTCTTAACCACTTAAGCCACCGCAGCTCCCCCACTAAATCTACAAGTTTTTAAATCTAGATTGTACAGAGACATTATAAACATCTTGTATGTTCACCTCCAAAAGCAACGTTGGAGCCTATAAAAGGAGCCTTGATGTTCTTACCATTGAGAGAAGAATCTGAAACAGTATTTCACCAGGTGAGAGCTTCAGGTAGAAGTTTTGGCACAACCCCGTACTGAAAGGCCAGGTGATACACACAGAGACGTCTCTTACCATGTCACTCCTCGAGCTTGGGCAGTGAGATGGTGTGAACTGAAGCCAGAGTCCCGCTGGGAGTATGATGACGACTGTCAGCATGGAACAGGGGGAAGACCTTCCTCTTCATGCACAAGCACATTTGATAGATCTGCAAGCGTACTTCCTTCTGCCAGTAGGCATAGACTACGGGGTTCATGAGAGAGTTGCATAAGCCCAACACCCACAAGTAATGCTCAAGGATGTTACGCGAGATGCAGCCCCCACATGCAGCTTGCACGATACTCCCAACAAAGAAGGGTGACCAGGAGAGGACGAAACACCCCACTAGAATGGTCACAGTGCGCATGGCCTTGGTATCGCTGGAGGGCTGCAGGGCCGGGCAAGTTCCTGATGAGCGGATTTGCTCCCGCTCTCGAATCTGCTGGGCGTGCGAAGAAGCAATCTTCAGCAGGTGACAGTGAATGTAGACGAAAGCGAACAAAGCTGGGAAGAAAGCCACACAAAAGATAGTGAGCATGTAGGTGGGGTGGAAGACACCAAAGAAAGTGCATGGTTCTTGGTAGCTCTTCTTCTGGAAGCTCTGGACGATCAAAGGGAGGAAGCCGATCAAGAAGGCGAGGAGCCAGAGCCCTCCGATGCAAGCCCCAACAACTAGGCCATGCATGACTTTGAAGTATCGGAATGGATGCTTAATGGCCAGGTATCTGTCAAAGGCCACCAGAATGACTGTAAGGATGGAAGCAGCTGAGGGGCAGGCGATGCAGGCCATGCGCAGGATACAGTAATTTCGGGAAGTATGGTGGGTGGGGCCAGCCAGCTCCTCTGTAACCAGCCCAGTTATGGTGAAGCCAACCAAAGAATCAGCGA